AACAACCTCAAATCTCTCGTCATCAAAATCGTGAACCTTTTACTTAATTTAAGGCTCCTAGCTCCTCGCCGACCATGTTGGAATTGTTGACGTCAGAGGCGAGAAAACACGCTAAGAATTCTTAGATATCATCTCGAAATATTTCAACGAAATAGCACTTCAGATAATAAAATAAATAAAATCAAATAAATCAAATCAAATATACGAAAATAAGGAGTGACACGTAGTTTCGCATAGAAAGTTAAACTAATGCGAAGGGTCTCTAGTTGGAATTCAGTTCAAGCCAACTTTCATATGCCTGCTTGGAAAAATTGTGGAAAGAATGGAGAAAGAGAGAAAAAAAAGCAGAATTATTTGAAAAAGGAAGAAAAAGAAAGAAAGAAAGGCAAAGGCAAATGGGAGGAAGAGAGGGAAAAGGAGGGAAGGAAAAATGTAGAAGAAACTATAAATAATATAATGATATATTGTAAAGGTTCGGGAACGCTCCTACCAAAAGCGCCTTGTAAATCCTTAGGGAACACAATAAATCAACTTTAGCCTTTATATACGAGAAATAATTTACACACAAAGAAATTTATTTTATTCCACAGATAAAAATTTATTGTTTCATATAGGAATGTGCCATAGAGAAACATAAAAGTAATTATAATAAGCAATTATAATTTGAGCGTTTACATTTTTTTTTATTTTTAATTAACAATGTGCGTTCTTTCTATCTCAAGGGATACCCAGGGTTTTCCTTACAAGTTTTTGAGCTATCCTCTCAAATTCACTGCGATCTTCCCTCCACATTTTGGCAGCATCAACGTTAGCACCACTCTCGTCGTTTGGTTCCGCTAGCATACTTACTACACTCAACAATATCTTCTCGACACTCTGTACTGGGCTCCACCTTTCTGCGCTGCTTTCATAGCCCATTGGGTCATCGCCAGGTGCATGTAATATGCTTATGCAGACTCTTCCATCGGCATAAACTTTTGAGAAAAAAGATATAATTTCATAGATGGTTAACATCTTAACATTATTGTACATTTAAGGCTTATGGGTCCTCGCTGCGGCCATATTAGTAACGTCAGAGAAAGCATACGTTGAAAATTCTTAAATGCTATTTTTAAATAAAAAAATATGAAATACTATTTCAGAGGTATTTTAAGAGTGTGCTAAAGTCATCTAAAATGCTGTTTCATTGAAATATCGTTTTATTTCGAAATAGCATCTAAGAATTTTTAGCATGTTTTCCCGCTTCTGACGTCACAATTCCAACATAGTCGGCGAGGAGCTAGGAAGCTTTAATAATTGAAATCCATTTCAGCTTATACGTTTAATATTTTTTTGTGCAACCGGCGCGCGAAAAGTCGCCCTTTCCGCACATGATGGGATTTTAGAAAGGGCTCCCTTTCCACGCACAAAATATCGTAGCCAACATGTGCGGGTCATAAATCGGCCGATCGTGCGGATTGTCACACTCGGCTTTGCCTCGTGCGCCAAACTTCCGCACTCTCGGCCGATCCCCCCGCACTTGTTAGCTAATATACTATAGAACGATTTTAATGTCAGTTAATCATAAATTGAATAATATATATACAGGGTGTTCCTAAAGTCCGATTTGGGCTCTTTATCTTTACAGTTTTGACTTGCCTTGCTTAAATTTAAAAAAATGCATTTATTTTGTCTTTGCATAAAAATAAAGATTTTTTTATACACACATATTTTCTTTTTATTAATGTAGTAAAAACTTCACAAACATTTTTAACAATCTTAACCATTTATAGTATCTACAAGGTGTCTAATCAAATCTTGTATACAAATTTTTGATCTTCCAAGTGTTTTTGTTTGAAATTCCAGGTAAAAAAATTGTAAGTAGAACTTTTTAAAATAAGTTTCTTTATTGTATGCACTTTCTAATTTTCTATTCATACAATAACAAATAATGCTATCAAGAATATTTTTGTAGCATTTAATGTTGATTATTAATTATAAAATTATTTTGGACAATATATATATATGTATAACAAAATGTAATATATAAAAAATATATATATACAAAAATATATATGCGAAAATATAAAACAAAATTAATAACTGAACAATTTGCTATGAAACTTATATAAGACCTTGATATTAAAGAGATCGTCAATAAAAATATCACATTTTAATACAAACTTAAATATTGCAAAGATATATTAGACATATGTTTCCTAAGTGGTACTAAAAATATTTAATACGAGGCCTTCAAAAAAATTAATCTAAAGTTTTTAAAAACTAAACACAGCCTGTTTATAGTTTAATAATAAGAATGCATTTTTTTATTCTAAAAAACAATAGTTAAACATATATGATTGCTAATTTGACCAATCAGTGAATATTATCGACCGTTTACAATAAAAGAGAAAAATTATTAAAGATATAATTTTCGAAAAAATTATCTGAATGAGTCTCGATTAAAAATGAGTCTTGATTAAATGCCATGAAAATTCGTGAATTTTTCAAAATATAAAATAACTCCGATTTTTCCTTAGAGTAGACACCCTGTATCCAAACCCCTCCCCCAACGATTTACTTTTCAAATCTTTATTTTTTTATAGAAAAAGATGTCAAATGAGATTTTGCATATAGAACACTGCAACGAGTTACACACCTTATTTATGTAAAAAGAACACTCAGTTTTATATTTTTATCAAAATTTAGTGAAATGGATCAAATTAAGCATATAATAAGCATCATAATTTTAATAGCGCAGTAACTTACTATTAGGATGAAACATTTCACAGGTGAATTGCATCTTTGGTGGACTTAGTGGATAATCCGGTGGAAATATTAATTTCGCTGGAAACACTCCACCTTCAAAGCATGTTCCTTCTGGTCCACTAAAAAACATTTAGCTACATTAAAACACACTTCAATAAAGAATGTATTGGAAAGATTATATAAAAATGCTCGTACAACACGCGCATAACACATAATTTTCATATTAATTATATTTTGATATTTTATTTAAAATCTTAGACTCTGCGCACAATAGAAATAAAAATAGGAAATATTAAACATATTACAAATAATAAATATTAGGAGTAATATATAATTAGAAATTATTTTATTCCAAAACAAAGAACTAAATTAATATTATGCATTAAGAATAAGTAATAAGAAATAAAAATGACAGAATATTAAATATATAACATGAAATCTATATGTTTAGATATTATATTAAGAATAAAAAATATTAACATAATAAGATATATTATAACTTGACGATCCTTCGGCGTGACATGTTGACTATTTCTCGTACTTTCAATCGTTTGACTTTTTTATATAAATTTATAGTTTAATAATTATGGACAGTATTACTAATATGAAGATTTAATTTAATGATATATATTTGTTCGCTTGAAAAGGACCACAACCACATGATTGAAACGTAGTGAGTTTAATAAACAAAATATACGCTAGTTTGGTCGATTATTTCTACTATCCTATTCTAATAACTAGTAACAAGGATTAAAAATTTGGGAATTATTAACAAAATAACAATATAGAATAACGTAAGCATGAATATAAAAAATTATTTTTTTATAAAAAATTTATATATATATATATATATATATATACAGGGTGTCCCATAATTCGCGAACCACCGCGAATGGGCAGATAGAGCGTGTTAAACTGAATAGAAAAGTCCTGTATCATTTTGCGATATTCGCAATAATTATTGAGTTATTTATTAAAATATCTAAACGAATAAGCAGGTAGAAAGCATTATTTGATCGAGAGGCGGCGTCATGCAGCGAGCGGTGACCAATGTAGTGGCGCCGAAAAGTAAGATGATACTAAGCGACATATAACAAATAAGTCATCCGACATGCACAACCAAGTCCGGCCTACCGCTTTCTACCCGCTCATTCGTTTAGATATTTTAGTTAATAACTCAATAATTACTGCGAATATCGCAAAATGATACAGGACTTTTCTATTCAGTTTAACACGCTCTATCTGCCCATTCGCGGTGGTTCGCGAATTATGGGACACCCTATATATATATATTATTTATAAATATTATTATAATTTTTACAAAATGCACTTTCCAAAAAAATTTTTTTTTTCATGAAAAAAATGTTTAAAAATATTACTTTTATAAAAAATTAAACAATTTTTAAATAAACGACTAAAAGTTTTTTCAATTTTTTTATAAAGACTATCGTAATGCAAAATGTTAAAAAATTTAAATAAATATCTGAAGGTTATTAATAATGCTCTGGAGTTCTAAATTTTCTTTCTAAATTAAGAAATGGAAAATTTTTTTCTAAAAGATTATTATATAATTTTTCTAATATTATTCTGATACAAAAACTCATAGAAAAAACTTTGTTTTATGAAAAAAATTTTTTTTCAGATTCCTAATTCCTTTGCTAATATGTTCAGAATGTTTTAAAACATCGAAAAATATTTTTTTTTTAATATTCGTGTGCTGTGTTTGTGCCCACCACTTTTCTGAAAATTTAAATATCTCAAGAACTATTCGATTTACAGTTTTCAAATTTAACATACAAGTAAAATAGTACAACACTTTTATTTATTGTCATTTTTGTTTTAAATCTTCATGCAATTTTAATTTTTCCAAAAATGTCTGTGGTTGCTCTAACTTCTGTAAATTTTAAAATCTCAAAATAAATTTTTACATGAATAAACTATCATTAAAAGATGCTATTGAATTTTATAAAGATCAGTGAAAGGATTCACTTTTTATAAGATTTTGAATTTTTTGAGAAAACAACTGTAGTTGCTGTAACTTCTGTAAATTTTAAGATATTATGATAAATATTATATGAATAGAGTATCATTGAGGGATATTTGGTATTAAATTTAGCAAGGATCGGTAAAAAAATTCATTTTTTTTTTTAATTTAAAATTTTCAAACTTTACGAAAGAAACGTACGAGAGTGAGCACACATACATATACATGACATTTGTAAAAATATTATTTTATGTAAAAAAGTATGCAAATTGAAAACTTGCACATTGCTTTCTCATCCTATTTCGCTCATTAGATTTTCTCTATAAGGAAGCTAAAATTAAAAGGCAAGGAAACTTAATGAGCAAAATAGATTAAATGTGTAAGTTTACAATTTGCACACTTTTTCTTGGTTATGATTGTAACAATTTCTATATTTAATATTTTCAGTAATTATGAAAGTGAAGGACTTTCTTATTAATTTGGCTAAAACTTCTCAATTTTGTGTATTTTGGCGCATAAAACATGTATCTATAAATTAAAATTGTAGCTCTAAATTAGAAAAAAAATTATTAAATACTAAAATTAACAGTTACATGTTACATGATTAGAATATCTACCATATCAACATCATGTAAATGCAATATTCAATATACCAACTATTCTCTGCTTTAACCAAAACCATAAATTTTTTTGATAAATATGTAGTTTTGTAAAAACACACTAAATATGCTGTAGTATATTGAATTAAATGGTTAAAAAATATTGAAATAAAGTTTATGCTTTTTAAAGCAGAGATAACTGATATATTAAAAAGTACTTAATCATTTTTTTATAGTTTTAACTAAATTGGTAAGGAAACCCCTCCTTCATAATTGCCACACTTTCTTCTTTTTCATTTAATTTCTATTTCTCATTCCTATTCCTAATATTTTTCCTATGGTGCAAAGCCTTAAAATAGAGAAAACTAAAAATTTCAGGTTAGAAAATATGTATATATATGCACAAAATAATACAGTAGTAGTCAACGATAGTAGATGACCACAATTTTTGGATTAACAAAAATCCGACCAGAGGAAAAAAACTTACGTGATGAGAGCCTCCCATTCGAAGAAGTTCTCCTCGTTAATCGGGCCGGCGATGATGCCCTCCGGTGGATTCAAGGTTAGCTCTGCAAGTTCGTCGCAATAACGCGGACATTATTGCTCGGCGGGAAAAAATGTGTCGCAATGGCGGGAAAGCCTCCATTACGTACGGTGTCATTAACAATGCGAACTAAATGTTTACTGCGGTGTGACTAAAAGAAGACTAAAAAGCTGATCCTCACGTTTGTACTCAGCCATCAGTCGTCTGAGAGCCGAACCCGCCATCGTTCTTAACGACGACGCGTAGCTGATCCGCCTCGACTTTGTAGAAACGTCAAATCAACGAAGGGCTTCGAAGGGCCCCTCTCTCTTTCTCTTTCTCTCCGTCGAGGCCCCTCGCGAAACTCGAGGTTTGTTCTTTGTAGCTGCACTAGAACTGGTGAGTTCAATATAGAATTTTATACCACAAACGTATAAAGGTGCCTTTTCACGAGCCGCTAAAACCTATTGTTTGAGCGACAAAATGATCACGGTACTTATTACGGTTCTTTGGGTGAGTTTGCTCACGAGGTGAAAATCACAAAAGTGAGAGATTCACTAGGTTGTCTACGCTTCTATTGGTCAAAATCTAGTGAATCTCTCACTTTGTGATTTTCATCTCGTGAGCAAACTCACCCAAATAACCGTAATAGGTACCCACGTAACAACTTTTGTCGCTGAATTAAACAGCGATCATTTTTGTACATGAAAAGAATAGACAGCGCGACATAATTGAAAGTTAAGCGTTTAAGCAGTAAATGCTTTGTAGTTGAACTGATTCAAACTACAAAATTGTTGATGCTGGATTATGCAGCGACGGATTAACACTAGAGGCAAACATAGGCATTTGCCTAGGTCGGCAAATTGGAGGGGGCGGCAAATTTTCGAAGACAAAAAATGAAAAAGAAATAAAAATAAAAAGTAAAAAAAGTAAAAAAAAATAAAGAAAGTAAAAAAGAGTGTAAAATCCTATCTGCAAACCTCCTCGTGGTGCACTCTGGGGTCGTGAAAATATTTAAAAATATATTACGTTTTCACCATCTAATGTAGGGGTAACAGAAAATTGTTGATATTTTGTACTAAATCTTTTATTTTTTTTTTTTGCTTTTAGGGGCGGCAAAATGTACGCTGCCTAGGGACAGCAAAATGTTTAATCCGTCGCTGGGATTATGAGCGACAAATCTGTCGCTTCAATCACTTGTTTTAGCGGCACATGAAATTGCACCTTAAAGCGGAGTTTACAATGGCAGCAGGAGTACAGAGTACAAGAGTAAGCAGTAAGCAGTACGAATTAGGATTGACTCATGCTGTTACTCCCGACAAAATGAGCGAATCCCATTTCGTACTGCTTATTGCTTCTTGTACCACAGATTAATAGACAGATCGCCAAAGGCCTGTCTAAAGAGAAGGCCGTCATTTTTGCCGCTTACCGACACACTTTGCCTCTGGTTCAAGTTCAGACTAATAAAATCCTTTAATTTTACCAGAAAAATTTGCCTCTAGTGCGAGTTCAGGCTAAAATCTTTTTATTTTACACGTATACTCAAAGGATTTTAGCCTGAACTCGCACTAGAGGCAAATTTTTCTGGGAAAATTAAAGGATTTTATTAGCCTGGACTCGAACCAGGGACAAAGTGTGTCGGTAAGGGGCAAAAATGACGGTCTCCTCTTTAGACAGGCTTTTGGCGATCTGTTTATTAATCTGTGCTTGTACTCTATACTCCTGCTGTCATTGTAAACCCTGCTTTAAGGTACAATGGAGTGTCGTAGGCTGTAGTCGTAAGAAATCGACAAACCACAGTCGATTATTTCAAAAATAATCAATTGTGATAGCTCAATTTCTTAAGCTAAAAAAGTAAAACTTTTCTCTCGACCGTACTGGCAAATATTATTTATTAAATCACAACGTTTCGACCTGCTTTAAATCCTTATCAAGTGATTTGTGAAAATAAAATAAAATTATAATTTTAAGATGTCAAGAACGAATATAGTCGACAACACGTCACTTTAGTTGAGAGACTCTCAAACTCGAAGATCTTGACGTGTTGTCAAACCGACACAATATTATCGTTCTTGAATCTAAATTATAATTTTATTTTTATTTTCACAAATCACTTGATAAGGACTTAAAGAAGGGTCGAAACGTTGTGATTTAATAAATAATATTTGCCAGTACGGTCGAGAGAAGAGTTTTACTTTTTTAAATTGTGTCTGGCGATTCTCAAATATCTACGTTTTTATTTTCTTAAGCTAAGTCTACATTGGTCGTAGAATCGTAAATTGTAAGAAAAATTGATCTAATCACAGTCGATTATTCTCCTCACATTCAACTATGATTAGATCAATTTTCTTACTATCTACGATTCTACGACCAATGTAGACCCGGCTTTACGACTACCACCTACGATACTCTATTGTAGAACGGCCTTAATAGGTACCTGGGTTCTGGGGGTCGATTGTGTAATTTTTTCTAAAGTGAAAATGTGAAAAGTGAAAAATTTCTTCCAATCACACATCGATTTCATTTTAAAATCAATGCGTGATTGGTGGAAATTTTCACTTTTCACGTTTTCACTTTAGAAAAAGTTACACAATCGACCCCCTGGGGACCTATTACGGTTCTTTGAGTGAGTTTGCTCACGAAGTGAAAATCCTTAGAACATATAGTATGTTCTAAGTGAAAATCACAAAAGTGAGAGATTCACTAGATTGTCTACGCTCCTATTGGTCGAAATCTAGTGAATCTCTCACTTTTGTGATTTTTACTTCGTGAGCAAACTCAGGGTGCGATTACATGGACGCGCGGAAACGCGGAAACGCGGAAGAAAAAGTAACTAAACTTTACTAGAGTCCCGCATTTCCGCGCGTTCCGTTCCGTCTGTTTTGATTGCCTTATATTACATGGAGCACATTTTGAGCGGAAAAGCGGAACGGTATAGTGACAAATAGACATTTGTATTAATTTTTTAAATTTATATTTACTTAATTCATTGTAATTCCTTTTAATATGTTCATCTTTTCAACTTATCTATTGAATACAAGCATTTTAATCAATAAATATAGTTAAATATTAATATTTTATAATTCCCCGTTCCGCTTTTCCGCTCAAAATGTGCTCCATGTAATATAAGGCCAGAGAGAAAGATGAGAGCGGCCAAGCCGGCGTTTTGGCTGTTACCGTTTTTACGGGACTGCTTGAAGCGCCCCTCGCACCCGTTTTTAATATCGGAACTAACTGCACACCCATTTTCTGGCAGGGTCGATAAAGTTTGTATTTGGTGCGAGTCCGTGCTACGCCCATAATTTTCGTGTTAACACAGTATCACGTATTCATTCTGTATATGTGCGATCTTTTCTCTTTATTTATATATATATATATATATATATGTATTTATATAATTTGTATAAAAACTAAAATATAATTATTAAAATATATATATATATGTATATGTGTAATGAAATATATAAATCTTATTTTAATTAAAATAAAAAGAACGATTAATTGTTCGACCACCTGGATTTTGGAATGTAATTTTTAATATATATTATATTATATTTAATATTTATCGCCGCTTCTATTAATATGAAGTGCAATGTCAACGTGCAATAATGTACAATTATTTAAAGTTTCTATGCCTAATGTATCATGCCGGTATAAAAGAAAACGTCAAGTAGCATGCGTAGCCGAGCAACTAAGATGACGAGCTGAAATCGTGGACATTTCAAGTTCAAACCCCTGCCTTTTTCAGATTTTTTTTTCACTTTTTTCAAATAAGTTATTATGTGTATAAATGTGTAATAATCAATATATCATTATTTGATAATTTTTTTGTAATGGAACAAAATAAATTATTTTTTAATTCTGCAAGGAATTTAATTATTAATGCAAACGCCCACACACATAATTTAGATATTCAATTTTTTTTAGTTCAAATGTTTCTTGCAATCTGTATACGACAATCAGTCCACTCGCTGTGCCACAGATTGCATCGCATAATACGCTCAGAGTTATAATACGATAGAGATCGCTTTACGCTGTTTTTCCTTGAAATAAATAAATTTTACGTGTTGTGTACGCGTGTTTAGTATATTTGTTTCTTTCATATTAATTTTAACTATAATTAGTTTTTAATTAAGATTATTTTAGTGTTAGTTGTTTATTTGTTAGTGTCCTGTTTTCTTTAATTTCGCATTTTTAATTTTCTTTTTTTTTTGGTGTTGGTGCTAATTATTATTTTTATTTTACAATGTCGAGTAAACACCGGTTTTACGATAAATGTGTGTATTTAAATTGCACAAATATTAGGACAAAAGATGGAAAACGTTTATTTCGATTTCCATTACAAACGGGTGCGAGACATGATTTATGGTTACGCAATAGTGGTGAGTTTATAAAATTGATTTACTTATTTATATCAATATATAATATATATTGACATGATATATGAAACAAATATATATATATATTCTTTGTTTTTTCAATAAAATATGTCAGATATTATGTATGTTTACGTATGGATTACGTTGAAGTGTTTCTTTGCCGCGTTTTTCTGATCTCGCCGAACGGTTCGCGAATCCTGTGCGAATAAAAAACGATGCGCGTGTGTGTGTGCGTGCGATTGTGATGATCAGTTTCAGTTCGTCTTCAACGCTTGACGAGAGAAGAGGTCCCGAACTGCTGTAAGTTTATAAAAACATATTTTTGTATAACACATTAGAACGATTTTATATTATTTTTTTGTCTAGAAAACGTTATATTAATAACCGTTATGAAAACGATCTCGACGACGGCGACGATGCCGGTGACGACCGTCGTCGAGATCGTTTTATAACGGTTATTAATATAACGTTTTCTAGACAAAAAAAATAATATAAAATCGTTCTAATGTGTTATACAAAAATATGTTTTATAAACTTACAGCAGTTCGGGACCTCTTCTCTCGTCAAGCGTTGAAGACGAACTGAAACTGATCATCACAATCGCACGCACACACACACGCGCATCGTTTTTTATTCGCACAGGATTCGCGAACCGTTCGGCGAGATCAAGAGACACGGTAGTGTCTCGCGACCAGTTAAGGGCGTAGCGGAGACATCGTGTATCTTAACGCGAGTCGGACATTTGAGTCTTTATAATATTTCGAATCCTCAATAATGGCTGAAGCAATCGAGTTTATACTAGACTTAATCGATAGATTGAGTTCGAATTATATAATAAAGTGTCTTTATTTCTGCTCTACGTGATTTGTAAGCAGAGATATATAAATGCAAAGTCGAAATATGAAAAATTTCTATTAAGAAACGTCCCCGTCATCATTATCATCATTATCATCATTATCATCATCATTATCATCATCGACCACGCATACATAGTAGTATCGTGCTACACGTATTCACACGTATACAACACATGCGCACACATATATCACACGTACACAACA